CATTAGACGATTTAAAGGCGGAATTGAGCGAGCGACGATAAATCAGCGCGACCACGACGAACGCAAAGTAAATGAAGAAAAGCGAGCGGCGTCAGAGGGGATGCGATAATCATCAACTTCCTTGACCAGCCGCCTCGGACACAATAGCGCGTTTAGCGCGCGAACGGACGGCGGTTCAGTGTCCTTCGTTTGTCGCGACGACTTGACGAGCGACAAGCATCGACGAGGCGGAAAGCGTCCCTCGCGGCGGGCGTGTTTCGCGTGCGATTCTTCAAGCGCGACGACGCGACTCTTCGGGGGCGATCAGTCGCGAGAAAGATCGACGTTGCGGATCGGAGATGAGCGGCCATCAAGAGAGACGACGCTCTCTTGGCGTGCGAACGATCGAAATTGCGCAGGCGGTCGACCGGAAAATAGGGCCGCTCCCTCTCGAACGCGCGCGCGCGACTGCTGCCTGTCGAATAATTTATATCCTGAAGAGCGCGACGCGACGCGCCGTTTCGCTTTTCGTCTTCGCGCGTCGTCTCCGGGATATCTTCACGAGAGCGAGCGAGGAGAGCGAAACGAATGGCGCGTAATACGCCTGCATGTGCGCGCCAGAGACTTGATCCGTTGGGCGATCGACCGTCGAAGAACCGAGCGACCGCGAGCTATTGACAGCGGGATTAATTCGAGCTCCATATTGCAGGGTGCGCGCGATCGAGAAACGTCGGCGGATAAACCGCTGGACGAATGACGGATAAATGTCGGACGAGCGCATAAATATGCGATCGGCCAAAAATCCGTCGGACCGTCGATCGATCTTCCGGCAGCGCGATCGGCAACGTCGAAGCGTCGAGCTCGTTCTCCATTTTGAGCCGATTTGCATCTCGTGAATGCGCGCAACTTGATCGATATTAATTTATTCGCCGAATAATCGCTCTTTCGCGGGAGTATCGATAAAATTATACCAAAATTGTTCGCACGCATATTTCATCGTGCCTGAACAATGATATTTCGGCGGCAAGGGAGGGGAGAGGAAGCGAACGGGGTGGAGCCCATTGGAAACGCACACCAGGAAGCTAAGAGGGTGGATGTTCGATATTCGATATCGGACATACTTGCGCGCGCGCGCACACAAACACACACACACACACACACACAGCGCTAGAGTAAGTACGTGTTTGCGTTTATTTGAAAAAGCAAACCAAACAGCTAGATATAACGGCACATACTGAATTTATTGCCTCTATTGTCTTCGCGTATCGGATATCAAACATCCGCGCAATATAGCCGAATCCATTATTCGAGTGCTCTGTCGAGCCTTTAAATGCGTCTACGTTCCGGCTATCCGAAGGCTCTTTACAATCATTTCCCAGGGATAAAGGCGAATTAATATCCGTTTTTCTTCCCTTCTGTTCCCGTTTGTTCGTTCGCATTAGATGTTAACGAGACCGTAACCGGCAAATATTCCCGTTTTCCTCCGCCCCCTTTCATAAAGTGTCTCTCCGCGAGCCCTCGAACGACGTTTCCCTGTATATCCGGCCGAACGCGGGGCGGGGGGGGGGGGAGGGGGGCAATTGGCCGCGTAGTATCAGACGCTCGCTCGCGGCATACGTTTTACCGGCGACACGGAAAGGGCGGGCGAGCACCAGATGCGACAAAGCATTTTTAACCCTTTCCCCTTTTTTCGGGGGCGTTGTGCAAAGTTTTAATAGAGCTGAAAACGCGCGAAAGGATGCAGCCGGGATGAAGTTTTTGGAAACCGTGCGGCACACGCCAAGTTTATATAACTTACGGGAGTAGTCGAAATGAATGACCGTGAGCTGGGCTTGGCTCACGAAACCTGAGGACGGGGGGAGGGAGGAAGGTTGTTTAGATCGCGAGAGAAAGAGAAGAGAGAGAGAGAGAGAGAGAGAGGGAGGGAGGGCAAGATGCCCTCCCTCTCGGTACCGGTAGAGGCTGAATCGCCGGGCGCACCGGAATCTCATGAATATCAAAATTGGAATCGGCGGCGAATCGCGCTTCCGCGCTAAATTTTCCCGCGGTCTTTATCCGCTGACTGCGCGAACTCGGGGCAACCTGATTCTAATCTCGCTCTAATGAATTTGCCCGACACAGTCGCAAATTTGCTCGGCAATTTGCGAGCTGTTTTCATCGATCGTATACTCGGCTCGGCCCCGGGCGCGGAGGAGCTCGTCAGCTCGATCGGCTAAATTTGCCGAAATAACACTCTCCGTTTCTCCCTCGTTTTTTCACCGACTCGCCGAGCGCGTGAGCGCTCTTTAACCCTGAGAACCGCACACGCGAGACGCGCGATTGGGTTCCCCGGAAAAGGAAGGAAAAGAAAAGTGGCAGAAGAGGAGACAATTCACGAATCATTTTCACGACGCTTTCCGAGCGGATGAGCGCGAGAGCGCGCGTATCCTGTATATTTCGTCATGCTCCAGTCTGTTTTATTTAACACGCTTCTCTCCGCTTGTATCTGGTGTCGCCGGGATATGACATTCGGTCCGATTATCCAGATTCTGCGCGCCAACTCGCGCACTCGCTGTCGCCTCAGCTGTTTTATTAGCACGACTGCGTCGTGGCCGCTCTCGCTCGAGTGTCGCGCGATCTCGTCGGTTTCCACGTACGTACGAAGATTTCCGTAGGTACGATATATCGTCTTTACGCGCGAGCGAACGCTCTCCCCGGCGGGGGGGGGGGGAGGGAAATGTCGCAGGAGAGCGCAGAGCGCGCGGAGGCGCGCACGGGTGGGCTATCTATAGCGGCGAGTGTAACCGAATGGAGTCCCCGGGTGTCACTCAAGGGTGACAAAACTCATTAATACCGATCTGCTTAATGCTCCGTCTCGTGTCCGACATTAATCTACTTTAAAAATACCTGTAGCGCGCGATGACCCGCCATTTTAGATCATCCATGTCGACTTACTTTGTACGAGAGGTACACCCGAACGCTCGGAGAGTCGTTGGGGATGTACGAGAAACAGACACACACACACACATACACACATACACACATGCACCACGCCCGCTTATCCTGCCGTTATAACACTCTCTCACTGACATCGCGACACACGTGTCCTCTCTTTTCCTCTCTGGAGAAACTTCTCGAGGGTACCCGCTGCCGAGGAAGCCGAGCCGACGATCGTGTAGCCCGGAAAGGAAAGGAAAACGGAAGCCTCGACGGAAGTTTCGAGCCGAACTCTCTCTCCCCCCCCCCCGCCCCGGGCCTTATCGCCTCTCTTTGGCCGCCATTTAAACTATTTCGGACGAGCCTGCGCGACCAATCTTGTGACTCACACGGACGGTGTGAGATATTATTTTTGTATCCTGACCTTATAACCGCCACGACAACATCTCCGATACCGACGACGTCGTCGTCGTCGTCGACGCCGCATACAGGATTATCATCGGGAACGGGTCCTGTCTACCCTAGATGAGCGTGTTTGTCGCTTTCGCGACTGGCTCATGATGATTCCGTATTGGGGCTAGGGTGTGTTTGCAACGCGTTGACGATACGCGGCGACTCTCTCCGATTGATAGCAACGAAGTTTTCGTCGCCTCGCGCGTGCACGAGAGAGCGAAAATAGAAGATTTTACGATAGCCGTATTTCTTTTACGCAAACACAGACACACACACACACACACACACACGCACATACAGTGTATCGGGCAAGCAGCGGACGCGCTTTTAATAACCTCGACTTTGTAACGAAACTGTCGCTTTTCCATCGATTGTAATTTCACTCGATACTTTGATGGGAATTTGAAATTTAATCGACGAGTCGGAGAGGAGATGCAGGGAAACAGTGACTATCAATGTCCCCTTTTCAGTCAGACTTTTGCTCGCGCAAAGTGGCAACTTTGTCGCAGAATCAGTCGTTAAAAACACATCCGGTGGTCGCGCGTATACGCTGTACACGCGCGTAGAAACAAAAACGCACGTATAGGCACGCACACTAGCAACTACCGTAAGTATCTTCTATTTTTGCTCGGCGCGCGCGTGAGACAACGAGAGCGAATTTAATGTTATGGTCCCTTGAATCCCGTGGCCGTGTAACGACCGTGACTGGCTACTGCCGCGATGCGGCCTTATGCGATGCAGATGGCGATGATTTTTTGCGCGACAGGGCGAGTCATGCGAGCGGCGAGAATTCGCGGGGCTGCACGCGGTGCGCTAATCATTCGGCGTTTCTTCTGCGGCAGGATACGCGCCGGCATGCACCAGACGTGCTCTTTCTTCTAACGACTTTTCCGCGCCACGTGCACACCGCACCGCGATCACCGCACTCGGTAATCGCGCTTGACACGCATATTTCCAAGTTGTAATTTGATTCAAGTCCCGCGCGAAAAGCCGAGCGGGGTCGCCTGGCGCGCCGGAAATTGAAGCCTCAGCCGACCTTGCGATTTGTCGCGCGTTTCTCGTTGATCTTCAACGATCGACAACTTCTTCAGCAATCGATTTCAACGTTGGTCTTGAGTGTCACTTTAATTAAATCGCAAAAGTTACATTGTGCTCCAGCGTGAAAGAGGAAACTTATCATTCTTATCCATCGCTCGCTTGTCAAAGTTTCGCTCTTTCGATTGGCTCAAATTTATGTGCACAATCTCATATCTCTATTTTAATTTGAGAGACAAGTTTCCTTCCCCTCCCCCATCTTCCCTCTTAGTGCAGTCCGTTCCCCACACTGGGCCGGTGTAACTGCCGTTTGGGGAAAATTCACTTATCAATACCGACGATAGATGTACCGACAATTGCCAAATCCGAACTGACACGTACGCGATCGTTTTTACTTTCCGTTAGCACGACATCGTCGAAGCGATTAGTCGTAGCTGACGTCTCGCGATGGCCGGCGTTTGGTGTCGTCTTCATTATGTAACCCGACTCTGGTTACGGTCTCTGGAAGATTCCTCACGGAGCAAGGGGGCGGGTCTCGGCGTTAAGTACTTTACCCCGAGAGCCTAAATTTGTAAGTAACCGCGCACGCAGGGTGGAACGCGAGTAATACCACTCACCGTTAATTGGTTGAAACCTTGCCAAAGGATCCGAAAATTGCCGAAGTCTGTCCGTCACGTACTGCGGTGACTCTCCATTCTGTAAATAAGAGAAACGAATGTAGCCGCGCGCTCAATGTAGCTGTTCCGTGTGTCGGTCGTGCTCTCTCTTTCTCTCTCTCTCCCTCTCTCTCTCTCTCTCTCTCTCACACACACACACACACACGCACACAATCACACCTTCTCGCTCTCCTTCTCTTTCTCCGTCTCTCTCACTCTCCCGGCGACGCAAATAAAACACGGCACGTCACGAGTGCATCATTTGCGAGGTCGTAGAAGCGTGCCTCGGAATAATAGATTCTCAATAGATGGAGTTACGGCAGAGACGACGGTTCCGAATTAAATCGACCAACTATCTCGCGCAAATACCTTCCGATTGGAAGGCATCGATCGCGCGCCCGTTACTTCGCTTCGCTCTCCGCCAACCTCCGAGTCCGTTCGTTTTGCACTTGCACTTTCTTCCGCGTGTCTCCCGACTCCCTTTCCTTTCTCTGCAAGTTTTCCTCGTAAGTTCGAGCGTATCCTTATTTCACTTCTCCCTCCTCCTCTCTCTCTCTCTCTATTTTCCCTCCCTGCAGCGGTTAAGACGTTAGAAACGTTCCAGTGGTAGGAATGATGGAAATGCAAAACGCTACTTGCATCATGCGTGCATAAAAATGCACGAGATGTATCATGGTCGTTTTTGCAGAAAGTATTCCGTGCGCAACCTACGTCAGGATTTATATTTTTCCCAAAGTAGGGGAGGGGAGGCAAAGCGGAGCGGTAATAAAGAAAAATCTCGGGGGCGGCGGCAAAAATATGCTGCGCAACTTTCATCGCGCTAATAATACCCGTTTGCCTCAATGGGACTAATTTCGGAGCAAGACCGGCCGGGGCGTCCAGTGAATTATCGAAAGAAAGTGCACTTCTCTTTTCATTCGTCGCGTTTGGCGTTTGAGCGATAAAATTGTCCTCGCCCAGCCTCTGATGACGCTGTTGTTTAATGAGACAACACATGGCTCACCGGCGCCGGCGGCCATCTAATGATGCATCCGAATATGCACTTCCTTCGAAACGGCCGTGAAGAAACTCGCTTGCTGCTTGCCCGCAAACATTCGTCGAGGGATGCACAGGGCGAAATGCGCGTTGGATTAAGGGGTAATATCCGAGTGAACGCCTGAAAACACAGAGTAAGTTTGGGAATTTTTTGTAGTTAGATAATAAAATAGATGGAAAATTGGTTCAAAGGCCTCTAACATGCATACCTTACACTACACAAAACAATTTTTTTGTTATTATTTTGCCTCAAGATGGCGGCGCTGGAGCTCTCCAAGTAAAACCATATTTTTCTCATGGGTCTCCGCGGCTTGCAGCAGAAGTGCCGTACACTTTCACTAAGGACAAAAGGCAAAATTTTTTGCTAATCTACATTAAATTTGCTAGAGAAGTACACACGTATATGTTGAAATATTGATTTTTGTAGAAATGCTGAACATTAGGAAAAAAGTTTCAGTTTTATCCAAGAAATTCAGCGAAAAAATATTTATAATAACAAAAGTTTTGAATCGATCGTAAAAATCATGTGTACTTCCGTAGAGAATTTAGTTTAGCAGCTACTGCAAAAATTTCCAGTGGATCCGATGAAATTTATTAAAGTTATGCTGTAAGCCAATTTGAAAAACCTGGTTTCTCTCGGAGAACTCCAGCGCCGCCATCTCGAGGCAAAATAATAACAAAAAAATTGTTTTGTGTAGTTTAAGGTATGCATGGTTAGAGGTCTTCAAACCAATTTTCCATCTATTTTATTATCTAACTACAAAAAATTCCCAAACTTACTCTGCGTTTTCAGGCGTTCACTCAGATGTTACCCCTTAAAGCAGCACGGAGAATATATACGTGTGTGCGTGTGTGTATGTGTAAGAAACGACATTATTGTCGCTCTCGGATCTCTAGATTTTCATTCGCATAAATTGCACGCAGCGACGTTATATTTATTGCCGTCGTTATCTCTCTACCGTGGAGAATTCACCTTGCCGTATAAAAACGCACACGTCGTGTACTGCGAAATATGTGAGATTTATATTGAAAAGTATTTTTCTCCGTCGTAATCATCCTCCCTCTAGCGTGTGATACGGAAGACGCATCGGCCGGCGAAAGCCACGTCGGAATTCGCTATATTGCGCTTAACTCCGCCACATAGGACACACACACACACATACATACGTCAACTTGCGATCAAGTTATTAAACGTAACCTCGCCGGAAGTTGAGAACGTTATTAACCGTATCTTCGTCTCGAGCTGGGGGCGTTAACTGACTGAAAATACGCGTTCGATAAACTGGGAATGATCAAGGACGAGGAAACGCAAGTGAAGAATATAGAGTCAGGGAGAAGGGGGAGAGGTGAGATATATTTTCGCGAAGATATAGACATCGCGATATCGATCAATGTCTTTGTATCTTTTTTTCGGACTGCTGGGAGCATTCGGCGAGAAGCGTATATATTCGAATAGCTCGGCTTCGTGACGTAGCGAATTAATCTCCGCCAAGTTATAGCGGCCACGAAACTCCGGTTGTATGTTCGAGTGAACCATTAACCCGGTCGAGCTTCAGTTTATCCTGTGGCCGAGGATCATCTTGAAGGTATTCGCGAGTGGAGCGTGACGGCGATAGGTGGGAAGCAGCGATGGGAGGAATCGCTGGAATTATCGTTACCCAATTTGCTTTCTCGACGCGCGCCACGCGACCCGAACACGAAGTTGCGCGAAATTGGGTCACTGCTGGCACATATCGGAGGGTAGAAAGCGCAAATTGAAAACTGAATGCGCTGTGCACTTGTTCGTTCTTCCCCCCGCTGCTCTCGTGTACGTGTGTGTGTGTGTGTGTGTGTGTGTGTGTGTGTGTGTGTGTGTGTGCGTGTATGTGTATGTATGTAAGAAACGATATTACTGTTGCCCTCGGATCTCTGGATTTTCACTCGCATAAATTGCACGCAGCGATATTTATATTTATTGCCGTCGTCATCTCTCTACCGTGGAGAATTCATCTCGCCGTGTAAAAGCACACACATCGTGTACTGCGAAATATGTGAGGTTTATATTGAAAAGTATTTTTCTCCGTCGTAATTATGCTCCCTCTAGCGTGTGATACAGAAGAGTGTAGCGTTTCTCTTTTCTTTTGTACGCAACTCACGTGTGTTCTCGTTCTCAGGTCGAAAGCGTCCGAGAGAGGAAAATTACAGGAACCGCAAGGAACAATTTCGCAGTTAATCACGATCGTTAATAATCATTAATTTTCGCGAATCGCCCTGTTTATGTCGGAATTCATGTCTGCAGAAATCTCTTTAGTGTGCCTCGAAAATACTCCTATTTCATTAGAAATACTCTCATTTTTTACGTGAGAAAATCAAGAGATGTACGAAATGATTCATTTTACTCAAATTAAAATAATTAGTCGACGACCGTCCGCGTTTGATATTTTCGTTTTTTTCGCTTTTACCGTCACTTCTCGTTTATATTATTCTGTCTTTATTACAGCACCGAGATATTTTTCTCCCTCCCCCTCACCCGGTCTCGCCGCTTTTATTTCAACGACAGGCTAACCGAAAGGCACTCGGATGAATTTGCATTCATTTCATTTTCGGCGACTACCGCCGTAGCATTCCGCAAAATGGTGAATGCTCCATTGCGTTCCGTTAATGCAACCACCACTTTCGGAGTCCTTCAGAACAGCTCGCGCAATATACATTATCGCGCACCATGGCGTCATAATCCAAACCCGCGTAATCATTCCTACGACATAATTGTGGTAACGCGCTTGGCTGTGAGCGATGCGCGGATTTGGCGATCTAATTAGACGATAAAATCGTGGCAGCGTAAGTCACACAATGGAACAACATCGTCAAAGAAATAGATGAGAATAACGAGAGGAGAACAATGGCAAAGAGACAGAAGACAGAGAAAACAGTGTGAGTCGCACCTCGGCATGCAGAAAGTAACGCCTTCAATCCCTTTCCAATTCCTTTTCTTTTTTCTTAACCAGAAGAAACCAGACGGAAGAAACTCGGAAGAATCAAAAATAAATATAAGCGACATATATTCTATGTATAGAAATATAGAAAAAATAGGGGCAAATTGACTTTGCTTAAGATTCAAATGCGATAAAAAGTCAATTCCCGATAAGTGTGATCGCACACAGGTGTAGCAACAATTATCTTGAAAAAGCGAGGAAACATACTTTCATTCGGGCGATTTTCATCGTCAGTTCGCGGATTTCTCGCGTTGCGACAAAATTTCGAAAAATAATCACAAGTCCGGCAGCCTTGGCGAGGCTTCGCAATCATTTTTCCGATTGCACCGACATAAATACGTGAAAACCAATCATGCTGGACCGCACGCCGCTCACTCGCGCATGACCCTCTTTCCCGATTGTCAAAACACTCAGCCGCGTGTTCGAGGGCGCGAGGGTGTAAAACAAGCGGGGGTATAAAAGAAACTTGCTGGTCTCGCGGGCGGCTAATGAATATTTATACGGCGGTATGGTATAGTTTTTTCCCCCCCGAACCGACTTATGCCGGCGAGCGTCGTAAACTCCGCAGGATACGTCGGCTCCTACGTGCCGTCCTCTCGCCTCGATTTAGGACGGTGTGCCGCGCCGAGAACGTTTACCGAAACAAAATGTCCCCGGGCTCGAAACATCGGCCGTTACTTACCAATCGTAGATCCTGCCGGTAATATACGTAAGCGTCGCCGCGCTCCGGGAATATATAAGCGCGCTAATGTAGCCGCCAGCCGCGATAATGCACCGCAGATCGCGACGACTGTGTAAATCGCGCGGCCTAAAGTGCGAAGATATTCTCCAGTCGGGCGCAGAGAGTGCCGAGTCGGTCGCATTCACCGGAAATCTCGGGGCATAATTTCATAACGTACGAGCGAAAAGAATCTCGCGCGGGAGAGCGCACTTTGGCGCTGTGTAAATCTCTTGCGTATCCACCACTGACAGCACGTTGCGGTGTACATCCATGGACAGCAATTCGTTCCACACTTGATGATTAGAAGGGTAA